AAGTCATAATATTAGAAGAATAAAGTGGAAATAATGCAATAAAGTAATATGACTATTCTCATGATTTTACTTTTTTTCCCAATGCCCCTAATATTCCATCATATTATTTATTATTGCCATAAATTTATTTTAAAAAATTGACAGTATGATTGGAAGTGTTACATTTGCTATTTTCTCCACTATTTGTTCCACAAAGACATCAATAAATATCAGTAAATACAAATATACCATTAGATGCAGTTGCCATGCGGCTGAGTGATACGAGTAAAGCGGCTGACCCACTTCAGGTTCAGGTTTTTCATTTTTACCTGAACCCGTAGGAACCTGGGTCTTGCGTAGGCCGGCAGGTAGGAGACGACTTGCTTGTAGACGTCTGCGGAGTCGAAGGTTTCTCCTTCTTTCAAAGTGACGGCCGCCATGCCGATCCGACCCTCGTGACCTGATGGTTAGGAACAAGCAGGAGAGAGGAAACCATCTTTAACACATTCACGTGAAAATGGTGGCAAACTGATGGTGCAACTAGCACATCTTTGAAAAGCAGAAGTGGAACCTCCTGCACAACCAAACAAGAATCCAGCAAGTGGTTTCTGGATAGTGAGTCAACAACAAAACTTTTCCAGCAGCCGCTAGGTAAAGGGCTGGGGTTGCTAAGTAACGGCACAGTATGACACAAGAACCAGGAGGTTTCAGAAAACATCAACTTCTTGCCGAACAATCGCTGGGCTGTTTTTTGAAACACTTTCACTGCAAAAAAAAAACAAAATCTTACCAATGATTTTGTTCTGGTTTCTTCTGAGAATATATTAATATTCTTGAAATAAGACAAAACTAATTTCAAAGTAACTTTTCAGCAAGATATAGCTGAATATTGAATATTTTAAATATTCAATATTTAAAATAGTATGTAAAATGTAACTCCAGTGTAACTAGTACATATTTAACAAAATGTACTGTTACACTGGAAAATTATTTTATTAAAATGACATTTTTCACGCATTATATGTGAAATAATCTGCCAGTAAAACTGTGGTAGTATTTTTTCAAGTCTAAGATATTTTCACTAGAAACTAGACCAAAATCACTTGGTAAGAAGTGTTTTTACAGTGCATGTCGTTTTTAGAAGCGGTAGAGACACAAATGGAAGTACAAAAATGTTCAACATGCAAACTTTTCATAATAAGTCCCGTTTGGTGTAGTAAAGTATTTTTATACCTTCCACTTTAACGCCATAAACATTTGCTTCTAAGATGCAGGCAGCCAAAGTGAGGATGTCTGCCACCTCTGACGTGGCGACGTTTTCACCTTTCCACCTGAAACAGAAACAATAAAAAGATGATGGCAGCGTCTCCGTTCGTCTCGGATGGATAACCTGTGAGCCTCCACTCACCTGAACGTGTCGCCCACTCGGTCCTGAAAATAAATAAACTTTTCGTGGTCGAACCGAAGCAGGTCGCCGGTGTTGAAGTACAGATCGCCTTTTTTCATGACGTCATAAAGTCTCTTCTTCTCCGTCTGCTGCTTGTTGCCGGCGTAGCCGACAAATGGAGACCGCCGAGTTATTTCTCCAACCAAAAGCCCAGTTTCACCTGAGCAAAATAAAAGACGGTAATAACAAATAAATGATGCTCATTTTAACAGCTTTAACAAGTAAAGCTAAAAAGTCTGGCTATGGCCGGGCAATCAATCGATTATATCGATTAATCTAATTTTTGTTTTCTTTTGAAATAATACAGAATAAAATCGTAATATTAGGAGAATGAAGAAGTAATTTTAGTGGAACTCCAACACAATTTAAAAAATTAATCATTACAGTTTTTTCCCCTCATTAATTTTTTGTTGTTGTAATTATTAGATGTTCCTCTGGTAAAATTGCATCTTTATTCTGCTAATATCATGACTATATTCATCTAATAAAAACCAAAATTGTCGTAGCCTAATCCTAATTCTTAACTCAAGAAATATTTT